ATTCTGCTTGTATAATTATAATATTTGCATCTGACTATTTAATATAAACATGTTAATAATTAAATTGAATAAATTAACATTAGAAAAAAAAATATAAGTACAAACCTCTAGATCAATTACTTCTTTAGACTCAAGAGGAAATATATTTGAAGTTTCCAATGTAATTGGTTTTGGAAGTATAAGAACAGGTTTCAACCGCGTTTTAGTTTTTGGATCACATTTTGATTCAATATTTTTTAAATTTTGTGAAATCATTTTTTTTTTTAAAAGAACATGATCTGTTGATCCATTTATTTAATCTGATCTTCAAATGATTTTTATTGGCTATTGGATTTTTTGACAATCGGATCAGATCAAAATAAATTAGAATTGAACAGGGCTAATGTTTGATTATTGATAACCTACTGTATAGAACATAATGAAATCAATAATGATTGGAATAACTATAATAAATATACATAACCTTACGTTACAATGTATTTTTATGATATCATTGTAACTGCAATACTTGCTGATACATTGAGAATCACGCATATAAATGTATATATTTACAGATTGCTTATTTGAATTCGCTTACATAGGAACACAGTTCTGAAAATACTTTTAATAATGTCGATTTCAAGAATTCACTTAGAAGCGCGTTTAAATGGTAGCGATTTTAAATTATTAACGAAATATATGTGATGCATCCTTGTGTTAGATGTTAATTCAATAGCAAGCAATCTGAGCAAAGTTCATCAATACAAAAGATGGAAAATGAATTCTCTGATTATCAAGAGAACACGAAAAGTCTATATCGCAAAAAGACCTTTTTGTTTTGTTTACAGCTGTCAAGATTTGTTATGATTTCAAATTACCAAAAATTCTGGGATCATGAACACATTAAATTGGATGCTAATTTAGACCCTATAGACATTAACATTATTAGTATATGGAATTGGTAATACACGAGCAGATGAGTTCATCGCAAAGAAGAAAATTTAAGATATCGAAGATGCGAAAAAGATGATGAAAAGGTGTTAAAAAGATTCAAAATTTAATAATGACGGATTGATTGATATAGAAATACAGTTGTATTGAATTATTTATGTTAGTATAGTATTAATTTCTTTAGATCTTTGACATATAGGATGTCCAGAAATATGTGACGCAAATATATGCGCATATTTTAAGATTTTTTTCACATATTTTATGTGCCACATATTTTATAGAAAATTACATAAAATATACATGCACATATTCTGCAATAAATATGATTAGTTGATTATAATCATTGATCATAATCATAAATCTAATCATGAAAAATATCATCGATCATCATCGCTTTTTTTTTTACAATGGTA